GAGCCGCGCCACTGCGGCCGTGCTGCGCGCGTGGCCCATCCCGAGCGGGCGGCCAGCTGCTCCAGGTAGAGCAGTAGCGTCCACACCCGTCTCCCCCACAGAAAAATACGGCAACAGGCTCAATACAGACAGGTTCGCAAACTGCATAATAAAACACAAGCCGCTCATTGGAACGGCAGTTACAACGCTCTAGTACTTGGCACAGATGATGAGCTATGTCATTAATATAATACTTAAAAGATTTCTATGAGAGGGTACTTACGGAAGGTGAGTGGGAATCGTTACTGTAAATCCGGAGCGTGGTATCAGATATTTGGAAGTGTTTTGGAGCCAACAGCCACTCACTGGTTTAAAATAGCAGACCCTCCCCAGAACTCCAACCTCGGAGATACACCAGACAGTGCTGCAGGACCATCAGTCTCTCAAAAGGCACTTTAGCATCAGTACATTGGCAGTCTGAGATAAATTAGTGAGAAATGAAGTCCTGAAATATCCATTCAGAAGTGCATTGAGGGGGATGGTGGTGGGAATAATCAGCAGCGTTAAGATCTACTAAGTTAGAATGTCCCATTAGGAAAACAAACAAAAAAGTCTCAAGGCATGTAAATATCTGGTCTTCCCTGCTTGCTTTGATGTTAAAAGATCAACGGGCCCAGACGAGTAGTCAGAGATCCCTGCAGATTAAATTACACTATCACAGTGGTCTTCCTTCTTATTTTCTATCACAACCTGGTCTCCCTCTACCAAGGCAGGTATGTTGTACCTAAACAAAAGAAAAAAACAACCACAAAACAAGTGATCTGTCAAGCTCTCGAGAACACATTGTGCACTTTTCAGCTTTCATGTGCCATTGCTGCATGGCACCACAAGCTCCCGAGAAGTGCTGTAAAAATTTAGGGACAGGGAAACATTCGCTTGCTCAGGTCATTGGTTCAAAAGCTCTACATAACACTGATGCATTTATTTTCTGCAACATGGATGTCAGAAGACATCTCACAGAAAAAGAGTAGGAAATACTGTTCAACTACCTAACAAGCCTTCCACATATTCAATAACTGGCACTTGTGAGACCGTACTGTATTTTATGTCCAGTTTCAGGCCTCCCAGTACAAGACAGACATTGACATACTGGAGTGAGTCCACTAGCAGAGAGCCACCCGGAACAGGAAATAAAGGGAGAGGCTGAGAGAACAGGTCTCGTTCAGTCTTAAGAGAAGGTTAATGTGGGGGAACCTCATTTCTGTGGTCTCCAGTTACCTAGTGGGAAGAGGATACAGAGAAGGTCTCTAATGATCACTTTCCCAGGGAAAATGCTGAGATTTTATATAACAGCATACACACCTCCCCAGAAAAGTATTAGCCCTCTTTTCTTCAAAAACTTTTAGAAAATTAATAATTTTCTAGGTAGAGTGTAATAGTTTCCAGATTGGGAGCTTTCTAATCTTCTGTTGATAAGACTTTCTCATTCACCTCCTCTTACCTCACTTTTCTGGAAGGTCAACATAAAAGACAGGCATTAGCTTTCCCAAACAACCCACTGAACTATTTACTTTCTTCTGCTGCTCTATTTTGTCCTTGACGGTAAACACGAAGTTCATGGTTGACTATGCATTTGTGTTTCTGCTCTAAAAATATCACAGAAGTCACTTTTGTCTTCTGATAAAAATCAGAAATAAACCTCTAGTGGAGGCTGCACAGTCATATGACAAATCAAACTACATAGCCAAGCTTTTAAGCTCCAACAACTGAAGGCACTGACAGTATTCTCTCAGATAAAGGACAAGGTTTCATAGGGACCACCTTTCACGGCAGGGGAAGGGGAAAGAAAAAAAAAAAAGATAAACACAAACACAGTACACAGTTATTTTATTGAAATACTTGAAAAGGCCAGCAATGGAAAAATAGGTTTGTCATGAGGAATTAATGTCTGATTTACTTGATCATTAAAAAAGCTGTGTCTATAGGTAATTCTAGCCAGTTACAGAATGCACTGTGATCCATGCAACTACTATACTACAGTAGAATAGGCACTGTGTACTATTTTAGTTTCATCTTATACACAGCTTTCAACAGGTATGATTGACAGATGTGAGAAATTAAACAGCAACACTTTTTGAATTATAAACATTTATAATATACAAATTTGCTCATCTGATTCATAAGGGTTATAAAATATAACATAGTGGAAAATGAAAAACACAAATTACACATAGCATATGAAGTTGATCTGGCAGTTTTTGAAGTTTACATTTTTCCTTTTAAAAGAAATATCAGACTGCTAAGTATGTCACTGGTCATGTAACATACAAAATCATAGGCCAGGACAGCAACAGTGACTTTTTTTTGAAACACGTAGTTAGTGGGGAAATTTGTTCATCAGTTAAAAAGAATAGATAAGAATGAAAATCACAAATTCTGCCTGGTATAGCTTATAGTCCAAAAAGATGAAGTCACTTCAGATGAATGTGAAATAAATAAGCAATCCTTGAGGAAGTATGATCCTTGAATGGAACCTATTCAACCAAAAATTAATTTCAACTATACACTAGTATGTCACCATGGTGAAACATCTAAGAACAGTATTTTGAATAGCTTTTTAGGAAGCAATGTCTTAGTGCTTTAATATGTACAGGTTATTTACAACAAATTCCCTTTTGGCCTCACAAGTTAAGCCATTTTAGCTGGCTGTTGAGATGCAATTCTTTTTTCCACGCATTTTGCAATACTGTAGTTAGAGCTATAATTTAAAATAATCTTATGCATGAATTACAAATATTAATAAAGTAACTCTGCATATATAAATATTTCTAGCAGAATTTAAAGCATTCAGAATGTACATAAAAGTTTTTTTTTTTTTTTTTTATTTGGTAGGGCCAGACGTGCTTCTTCTCAGATCATCGTTGCTTTAATAATGCTTTGTACATAGCAAAACCCAAAACTGCAAAGACAGTAGCACCAAAACTTGCTCGGAGCCAAAACGTAGAGCTCTTGAGGTCCGCTTGTGTCACATGCCTAAAATTTAACACACATACAAAACCAGGTTAATTCCATGACAGGAATATCAGACAACTTGCGCTAAACTACTCTGCTTTTGGAAATTCATCACTACACTTGTCACAGGCAAGCAGCTTACAATTCAGCCTTATGAGTACTTATACAGTCATTTTACTTTTCTTAAAAGCTTAGGATTTGATCTGCAGCCCTAATCACATTTGTAGATCTCACTAAAGTCAGAGAGCTCACGCAGCTGAAGAGAAATGCAGGAGCAGATCATTAGTCATGAATGTGGGGAGGGCAGCGTGTCTTCCTTGAGAGTACCAGCAAGCATTCCAAAAAGGAAAACAAAAACAGCTAGCAAATAATTAATAACCCATAGTGAGAACAACTCTGTCCAGCAAAATCCTTTTTTTTCTTCAATGTTGAGTTTGCATATTTCTGCTTTTCCATGAAAACCTTTCCAGTCCTGTTAAATATCTACTTACACTTCTTCCCCCAAAAAAGTTTACTGACAAGTAGCAAGTAATATTTTTCCAAAAGCTAGAATCAAAAGGACCATTTATAAATCCCTTTCTTCCCAATACAGTCACAAGAACAGCAATAGAAACAGTCATCCAATACCAAGCTGAAAGCTAAGAGAAAGTGCTAGTGAAACAAGCAGTGACAATGGCATCAACAGAAAAAAGACAAGATGTAACAACAGTATGAAGTGACTGTATGACATAAAAAGCCACATCTTGCATGACAGTAGAGACAGCCAATGACCCCACTCTCCCAATTATTGCCAGAAGTTTGTGAGCATGCTCAGTTAAACACGGCTAGCCATCCTCCAAAGTAGTCTCAAGTATGACAGCTTACCATAAAGCAGGAGCTACCCTTTAAAACAAGTTATCATAAATGCCATAATTCAAAGCACAAGAAGTTCCTAAACAACAGTAAGGTTTTTTTTGTTTGTTTGCTTTCATTTACGATAGAACTTACAACAGAACTTCACTAGCCTACATATTTTAGCCTGTATTGATCATCATGGGTTACTCAGTGAAACCTGCAAGAGTATTAAGTACAAGAAGCATAGAGAGATCCTAAGCATACACGGTGCACAGAGTTCACATAGTGTGAACTGCAGAGCTATAGCATACAAGCTGTTTAATAAAGCAGGAATTGTTACTTGCTATCAAAATACACTAAACCAGTTTAGGATATTCTTTAGTAGACATTTGCAGAAGCAATATAAGCCATATAGATCATCAGTGTACTGTCATACCACATGCTGAAGAACAGGCTCTTTGCCGCACAAACAGCGAAACACAGCTGGTCTCTAAAAAATCCTAATCTTATTTAAGAATATCTTGCTGGGTTATGGAACAGATCAAATTCATGAATTCCTGCAAGCATTAGTTCTTCTACAGCTAGTTTTGACAAACTCTCTGCAAACTAGATGTCAAGTGGTTTGCTGAGGGGAAGAAAGGGAAAAGGCAATGGCAAGGTCACCTTAGTTTGGCTGTTGTTACCTGTCTTCAAGTAAACGTGGACCAAGAGATGACTCCATGAAGATGGAATCTTCTACAAAGTTGACGGCGTGCACCTGCTGCATAATACTGCTCTCCTCGTCTGCTAACAGCATGGCCCCCAACTCATCTATGTAGGGTCTTAACCTTTTTACACACATGCACAGTTTGCAGTTCATAGCATGGCTCAACAACAGCAAGTGTCTCAAATATGCTCAAATGACAAAGCCCAAAGAATTTATAATTTTTAGCCATTGAGACCCTGATTCTTGTGCAGTTGTTAAAAACTTAGTGCTTGGGGAAAACCAGAAATAAATGGAGTTTGTACTGTTGATGAGCTAAGTAAAAAAATACGATTTTATGTAGCTATATGCCATTGCTTTAAGGACAAAGAAAACAGCTTAAGACACTGAATCTCTTCCTACTCCGTCCCCAAAGCCTCAACTTTTCACGTATCGATAGGATACTGCAATACTCCTGCACCATACGCACGAGGTGGAGTACCTGTGCTAAACACATTGGAATGACTCCAACACACCAGCCCTAAAACTGACAAGATCTCATTATTGTTGATAATTCAAGACTGTGTTTTATCACTGCTAAGAGCTTTTGCATTTATGTTTTTGGGTTTTTTTGTTTGTTTGGGTTTTTTTTTTAGTAAAAGACTCTAAAACACTTGTCTTCAGATCTCTAAATTATAAAACTTATCAGTGTATGTAAAATAAATCACTTGTATGTAACATGATTTTAATAGATTATGTTGGGCAAATATTTGTATAACTAACAACTCTCAAGTTTAATTTGGTTAATTCAAATGCCCAACTATTTGCATAATTTTAAAAGCATCCCTTTAAAACGGCAAATCACTGTTTAAATTGCAAATGAGTGCTTTATGCGCTAGCAATGCAAAAGCATTATCTCTCACATCTAGATTTTCTGATTCCTATCTATAATTTGCCTTGTTTTGACTTTTGCACATGTCCATATTTAATGGTATGCAAGAAACTTGCTGAGCATGCTTCATCCTTTTAAAAACAATTAATACATTCTCAGGCATGATAAAATCCTTTTTTCATGTTTAAAGGGAGAGTAAATTGACTCTGATCCCTTTTCTAAGCCTAACAGTAACTGACTTTGATTTAAATAAAGGAACTAAATCAAGGCAAGGATTTGTCTTATAGCCTCAAGGAAATCTACTGACTTCAATAAGAAACGATTCTGAACATCTCAGCCCAAAAATCCAAAGTCCAAAAATACTTACTGAAATACAGAACACTATGGATGTCTAATTGCTTTACACCTTTAAACAAATTTCCATTTTTCTTCCTTAAATGTTCCTTATTCTGTCATAAATTACATTTTTGCAACTTTGATCCCTAATATTGTTTAGCTGCCATTAAAGGGAAAAAAAAAAAATCTGTCTGAAATAATTAAAAAGGATCAATGTTTGTTTCCAGCACAGGTTCTTTGACATGAAAGTGGCTATAATGCAGAAAAACTTTTCTCAATACATACTGAAAAATTCTACCTCTTCAATAAATAATGTTCAAATTTAATTTCAGTGAGGTTGTGTTTATGAAACTGATTTTCACCAGTGGTAGAAATTATTACTGCCTTGTAGTAAGAGAGTAACTCTGAATTAGAAAAATTATTCTCTCCAAGGGTTAAACTTATACATGGATGTGCACATATACACACACAGTAGTTGTTAGGACTCCATAAATGAAGCTGTATTTGAAACTCTTGCTTATTAGTAATAATAACTAGCTTTCAAACTTCCCAAATAGATTGGTGTATTTAATCATACAATAAGTTCAACATATGTAAGAAAGTCTAGAAATTTTGCCTTTGGCAGAAAATTCAGATTTTAATGCATGTTTTGGAAAAAAAGACAGATTTTTATTCAATCTACCCTTAATAGTGAGTCAAGTAACTTGTCATTTGTTGGGTAAGATCTCTGAAATCTGTAGAGTCTTTCTTTTAAGAGGCTTTAACAACTCACAAGAAGTTTGCAACATGCACTTATCAAGAGGTTAACTGAGCATGCCTATCATGGTTACACACAGAAAATTGCTGAGTTATTGGCCAATACTGACACTTTTCCCTATGTCAGCAGCAGAAGAATCCCAGGTCTGGGAAGGTTTAACCTTAACTATAAAAGTTCAAAAACATTCCTGTATTAACTACAAAAGCATTTTAAAAGCCCAGTGGTGAGGCCAGCAGGCTAGTCACAAGGCCACTCACACGAAAATTATAAGCAAGTTAATGCAGCCAGCAAGCAGTAGCAGCCTGCTCCGACAGACAATAGGTTCTAACAATAAAATATAAGCAACTGCATTCCAAAAACATCGTGTAACATGCGCAAGCTGCTGCAGCTTCCCTTCAGGCACGTATTTTCCTAGGATGCAAACCAACTCCAGCAGTTAGAATTTTCCCCCGTGCATTAGTCATCTAAAATGTGAAAAGCTCCAAATGCATCTTACTATCTACAAAACCTAAAAAGAATGTAAAATGCCAATTCAATACATTCTATTTGGAAAGAAATCAGGGAATGCAGGGAATGCAAACTTCTACTCAGTACGGGGCATTAAACAGGTTAGAGAAGGAGGAAAACAGGTAAGTAAAATTCTGTTATACTGTCCTAATTTGGGGGACACCTAAGTATAGGGATAGATTTCTGCAATTAGATTTAATGGCAATATACTCTAGTTTTGAAAAATAATCTGCGTACACTGCACATAGTGAAAAATAAATCCTGGGTTACATTCTTAAAACTTTCCCATTATTACAGGAAAATGAAACTATCGTCTTAACTTTAATTTCACAGAAGGAAGGTTTCCATAGGAAAAAAAAAAAATCTTACAAATAATTCCTGAAACAACCATGTTTTATATGCAAGTAGAACTTCACTTCTATTCCACAATATTTAAAAACTTTAGAAGAAAGAAAAAACATGCTCTGAGAAGTCTCCCCCACTGAACAACACAATTCTCATGCATTATAATTATTTTATTTTGAAATTAACTTAGGTGACAGAAAAATGCCACTACTATACAAGCAAAAGGCAACAAGTGAACGATTTAACACTAAGAAAGCAGAAAAACACACTTAAAATTGATGCACTGGAGTTAAAAAAAAAAAAAAGAGACCAAAAATCCAAGCTCATCATTAAAGAAAGGATTAGAATGACATAAGCAGAAACCTTGCTTTTAAAAAGAGGTAAAACAATGTAGTAAAAAGAGATTAAGTGCCAGCCAGACAAATACAAATGAACACCTAAAGGAAAGAACAAATTAAAAATAAAATATAAAAATACTACAGCATAGTAACAAGTCTCATACATGCATGTACAGTGCTTTGAATGCAGTGCCGCCTTCTTGAAAGAACCAATGAAGTGTCATCCTGGGTAGTTCAAACCAACAATCCTGTTCTGCACAATAAACACCTCCAAACTGAACTACCACATTTGTTGAACTTGCCTCTCTGATAGCCTACAAACTCTTGGGGGAGTCTCTGAAGTTCGTCCATAGAAGAGAAACTGAAGGTGGGCATGAAGAGGTTTTTCAGTTGCATAGAGGCAATGTTTTTCCTTTAATTACTAAGGTGGGAATATTCAAATGTCCTATTATATTTTGCCTTAGTAGCAGTGTTTAAGCATTACTTAGCAACAAGTAATACAGGAAGGGTATAATCTGAAAAATTTCAGTTTACCTACTTCCACTGCTTAAAGCTTCAAAATAGGAAGGGATCAGGAGAGTAAGTACTCTTGAGAAACCTCCTTTACGCATCAGTTACCTAACTTTTGCCCAATTACCTGACCTAATGGTAAGCACTTGTAAAGGCAAAATAAGAAAAGTTATATAAACTAACTACATCAGAAAATCCTTCTTGATTCAAATGCTTTCTTTAATCTAATCACAAATCATTAGATTAAAAATGCATCTAAAGAGATAACACTTTTAAACAAGAAAACCATCTCTACCCTCCTAAGTCTACAATTAGGAGCTGTTGTTTACAGATATCTCATCTCTACTATACATGCATTTATACAGTAGTCCATGTACTGAATGGTGAATAACCTGTGGCAATGTGTTCAGTAAGGAAACACCCTTGAAGAGCTAATGAGGAAGAGGGTTGGTGAGATGAAGTAAGCATGCTGGAAACCTGCAACAAAACCCTAGTGACTAACAATGACTATAGACAAAGAGATTCTAGCAAATAATTTTTCCTTTCTGTAGGGTCAGTGGAAAAGTCTATGAGGAATTCTCCTTACCTTGAATTACAGACTTTTTTAGGCAGTAGTAGATTCCTATGCTTATTCCACACTATCTAGTGACAAGGTGTGGAATGATAGCATCCCGAGACTTCTCATAAAAAGGTTTCAATACCTTGAGTCCTTGACAGTATTTCAGAGGAACGAAGTGCAATGTCTAATGCAGGACTCGGAAAAACCACAGGCCCATACAAGAGAGAGACAAGCCATGACAGCTAATGTAGCAACCCATAACCGTTCCAAAAAATGAGGATGCGTTATAGAGGTGATTTCAGCCTCAATAATAAAGAGTTGGGATTTTCTAGTAGTGACTGCTGAATGAAGTTTTAGAGCGACAATAGGCAGAGATTGCTGTTTCAAGGGATTTTTGTCTAAGGGATGACTGCTGTAGAAGAGATGCAGCATGAGCAGACTCACTCATATTCACAGTCTTTTCCTAAGCTAATTTCACCCTTCTCTGAACTCTCACTCTGTGGTAACACTTTTACCTTGGATTAAAGTGGTATTTCACAAAGATGCTCAATACTGTAGGTAGGTGTATCAGTATGCCTCCTATGTGTGTGTAACTTGCATTTAAAGGAGATAGTCACTCTTATTTGGAGCACCTACATCTGAAAACAGTAAAATGTAGTAACATACATGGACCAGCAGCATGTCAGGATATTCTAACCGTGGCCTTCAAATAAACACATTTATCATAGTTGCCTCCAAGAATCACGTTTATCATATACGCCTCCAAGTAGGCTACAAAGGATGGAACCACTACACTACAAAAATTGTTCGGTTTGAACTCCCATTTGCTGGGGTGAGATGACAAGTGCTGAGGTGTTAGTAAATCATGTGTGTCAAAAACTGCCTGCAGTACACACAAGACAAGGTATAGCACTGTTTTCAATGCTGAAAACCAGTTATCTCTCTTTACCAATGTTTTTTTCCAAAGTGTCTGCAAATGTTTAACCATTTACCACTTCTTACATGTTGCGTATTGTTCAGAAAGGAACTGGATGTTAAAAGCTCTAGATTTTTTTACACAAAATACCCACTCTTTGTGCAAACCAAGCGTAACACACACAGAGAGAAATTCTATGATTCCCAAATATCAAACAACTAGCAAATATAAACATGTAATGTGTTATACCATGCTGCTATAGTCAAGCTGTACCTTTATGAAAATATTTGTGTAACTGATATCTAAGAGGCACTACCTCTAATCAATATTAAACAAACCTATAATGTCTCAAGTGAGACACATTACACAGACTTATAGACACTATTTAATGTTCATTACCAGTTCCCTAAACAGAGACAGTCCTGATTTCTCCACAGTATTTTTGCAATCACTAGGTGCCTGAATCAACTACCAAATTGGTAATGTTTCAAAGAAATCACTAGACTAGCTCGAAAGACCAAGAGTACCTTCAAGTTAAACAAAGTTTGACAATCTTATGACAATTATTAAAGTAAGTATCTGCCTATTTAGTGGATATGGAGTGAAAAATCTGCAGTATATAAGGTTACCAATTGCTTTTTCAAAAAAACTTTATTTTAAAAGCACACCTGGTACCTAGTAAATAAAGTTAAGGACCTGTTAAGAACTGCAGTGAAGAGTTTGTTCTTTACAGATTGCAGCAAGTCTGAGTTGAGGAAGTTCTGACAGATGCAAAATGTACACCTGTTGCAGGCGCACATACAGCGTAACCGGGCATGGCTGCGAAAACACACAGAAGGACAGGAGTTGAAATCTTGCTCATAAAATCAGGTGCACATTAGGACTGTGCCACAACCAAGAGAGATTTAGGAATAAAAGGTACATTTGAATGAGTAAGGAGAGGAGAAAAAAAATACACTGGGGAAGCAAGGGTACAACTACAGCTGTGCAGAATTTTAAGGTTAGATGTTCTATGTCTTCGACATTTTGGCATTACCACCATACACAGATCTTAACAGCAAAGCACAAACATGAATGAAAATGTTTGCTGAATTTATTTAAGTTTGTAAGGAAAGCATCTAAAGGCCTATATGTCTGCACAGCAATAGATAACACCCCTTTTTCAAAGGAAAGTAAGCACATTTTCTACCGCTTTGAATGCACACTTTACAAAGTGACAGTTACCTCTACTTTTCCCACCCTAACAAACACACATGCTTGAAAACTAAGGGAGAAGCAGGAATATTGATATGACAAGACATTTGGTCAGTGCTACACTTTAGTGGTTTCCCAGTATTCCAGTGCTACAAAATAAATAGAAGAGAACAAAAACAAAACAAAAGCTTTATAAATCTAATCCAATAAATTCAGTCTAAAATATTTTTTTAAAAATCCTATTATTTTGGGTGAAAGTGACATTATTCTATTTAATTTAAAGCAAATGTCAGCTGTCATACTAGACTCCATCTGCTGTAATATTTATGTAGTTCATTACCATATTAAAAGCTCCACCCACCAAAAAAAGTGATGCAAAGGGAGCTTAGCAACAGTGAGATGTGTAGTGAAGAAGAATGTGCGCTTAAGTATCTTCTATCTGAAGCCCAAAAGGTGTTTATACAGAAATTCTATAAAAAATGTAAGATCTATTAGATTAATGAACTGAATACTAACAAACATAGTAATAAACACCCTGAAAATAAAAAAGCGTCAAGCAGTGCATTGGGGGAACTGTTGTTCACTAGAGAGTGTCATTACTTGTAATCAACTGTCAAGTTGAGCTATTAATGAGGATTACAGTACAACTTACTCACAAGTATCTCAAAAATATCAAGATATGAATATTGACATATTGAGTTATGTATCCACAATAAGGAACAAACAGAACCCTACATATTCATTGGAATTTTCAACACGAGCTGGATGAAGTAGTGTATTCTTTAAAAAATACCTTAGCAACAATAGCTGACACTGATTTTTATGTTGGATATATACCAACTTCGTCAACTTGAAATAATTTGAAGATTCTACTCAAGTCACTTATGTCTCTCTGTTGCTAAATCTCAGTGAAGCAGTTCCATCCTCGTGGCTAACAATGACATGCAGTGGTATTGTGCGTGACCCATGCAATATGAAAAATATAACAGTTCAAGTACTTACGGATACATTGCCATAGTTGTCAGTTTAACAAAGATATCCTTACTCGGCACATCAACAGTATTACAAGTAAAGGCTTGAGGTGGAGGCATTTTGTGTTTTTTGCAGAATTCAGCAAATTCCTGTCTAACTTCATGCAAGTCAGACTTTGCAGCTACCACTAAGCATGGTATTCTGCTATCCATGAAGTGCTGCTGCAAATTTAAAGGAAAAAAGTGAAAGAAACAGTATATGACAAATTCAGCCTGGAACAGCCTGAGTTGAATTGGTTGCAGCAGCATTAAGATATATTCATTGCACTGAAGTCAGGCATTTCTAGAAGCAGAATATTTTATATAGACAAAGTTGGCTTTGTATAAATAACAAAGCTGCATTTTTAATACATCATAATGCATAACGAGCACTCATAAATAAAATGTCTTTTAAGCACTAGAACTTGTGTATAGGACCAGTAACTGACACTGAATATTTTGTCAGTGAAAAGATGTATGAATGTAAAGGTTTGTATATATAAACTATACAAACCTTAAAAATCCTGGCACAGTACTCAAAGGACTTAGGGTTACTGACATCATATACCAGGCAGACAGCATCACATACGGTCTCAGCATCAGTTAAAAATTCAGAGTCACTGACATCATGTAGCTGGAAAAAAAGATGGTCAGAGAGGGAGAAAAGCTTTGTTATTATGAAGTTAAAGGAATTTTATAACTTTCTTTTACTCATAATTTTTATGGCTCATTTTTACGTATCCTTAGAACTAATGGACTGACAATAGGCAGAATTAATGAAAAAGAAATAGTAGGAATTTACCATACAGCCAACATAAGTGAGCTGTTAACATCACATCTGCAGGCAATCACAACCTCAGCATAAAAAGTTACATTTGCTTCTAACACAAAGTCTTAGAAACTGGCATTCACCCTACACAGAAAAACCACAGAGCAGAGGACTAGATCTCGGTAAACAAAGAAAGATACCATATTATCATAAGGAAAAGTACAGTGGAACAAGCTTTAAAGAAAGCATGTCACCCACTGAAGATTAACTTTAGCCATCCTAATCACCCTACGTGACAGATTCTTCTTTTCTAAATAGGTAGATTGCTTGTTGATAATTCATCATATGTTATAATTTGATGCCCTGCAGCATGAACATAATGGACTGGGTACTCTACAATTTAGGTCAGGGTTTCAAAAATAACAGGTCCTGAACAGGTTCAGTTTAAAGTATTAGCAACATGTAAAACCAGAAGTTATTTGAGCCGGAAAAGGAGGCGGAGAAGGGGAGGAAAAAAAAACAGCAAAGGGAAAAAAAAACAGGTATGCTGGGGGGAATCCACAATTATGAAGAAGAGACAATTAAAACAGAAATGTGTTTGCAGAAGGCTCTGGATAATTCACTGAATTTTAAGATTAACCAGTCTTACGCAAACAATAACGAGGCAACCTTACCAGCAAGTATTTTTCCTGTCCGTATACATAGACTGTATTAATGGCGTAGTAAGATTTGTGTTCTGCACGTATTTGCCTCTGTCTCTGAAAATGCAGAATTTCATGTTAGACCACAGCAAAATTCCCCTTTAATTTAGATTTGAACAGCTGTTTTATTCCATTTATTAATGAATGAAAATTACAGTGATCTGTGATTTATTTTGCAAGTACATGCAAAAGTTATAATCCATGATGTACAAGTAATTATTGCATGCAATAGCCATTTGCCTATTTGCAAAAAGAAAAAAAAAACAAAAAAATACCTCCCCAATAATTCTATATTCCCTCATAGAGCTCTCCAAACTCAGCAATAATCAGTAAAGCTCTATGATCAATTGGTTTTGCTGTCTAACCTTAACTCAAAAGCATATATAGGTGAATATAAGCAAAAGGTTTCTTACTATTAGATTTCTTCCAAGAAGAGCCTGAAGAACTCCACTTTTCCCACAGCCTTTCATTCCAACAACATTGCATCGGAAAACATTTCTCTGAGTCTGTTTTTTCTGGAGGTCTATCTTTTTATCTCTTGTTACTTTTGAAAAAACACAAATATTTTTCACAAGATGTACATGCTTGTATGTATATGAAGACATGAAATAATTGTCCACTTACACTAAAATGCACACAAAAAAATCTCTCAAATATTAAACCAAAGGTTTGACTTGAGCAGAAAGTAAGAGAATTTAAGTGAAAAAAAGACAGACCATTTGTTTAAACAATTTACTCTTGAGCAGATTTCTAAATTTAAATTCCTAAGTTGTACCAATTTTTTTTTTAATTACCTGTAATTGCTGATGCTTGAGATTCTTGTTCTGCAAGTATCGAGTAGCCTAAATAACCCAGGTACTCCAGGCAACGCTGTACATCTAAGTACGTGGTTAGTCTAGCAGAGGGGACAAAAAGAAGTTTTTCTAAATTGTTAGCATCTGTGATACCAATTCTTTACAGTACTCAAACAATTTTTAAATCCTATATCCAGACTGACACGATAGAAGTACTCCTGGTGCTACGTAGTACTGAAGGACAAAAGCACTCTGAAGGTGAATGGTGGCAACCTTACCAGTCTTAATAGCCAGCAAAACACTGTGAAAGCAGTACTTGCGGAGGCCTATCAACCATTTCAATAGGAAAAAACCCTCATTATTGAACATATTATTCATATTGTCTCTAAAGAGTAGAACAACTGAAATAAATATTTCAACAAGTTTCAGGGAGATTTCCACATTTTGAAGAGACACTTCTTCATAGTTAGCACTAAATACTGGCCAAATCCTGAACAGGTTATAAGAATTGTCTGAAGATTAGGCCACTGGATGGCTATAAAAACTTGACTGCTCGGGTCAATTTTCAGCTATTAAACTTCCCTCTTTCTAGGAGATTCTTAAAAGGAATCTAAAAATGCATTATCATACCCAAAGTTCTCAACTACGAAAACGTAATGTATCACACTTACGTCCACTGAGAGAGAAACCCTTGGTATGTAATCCACCCCCTTTCATTTGTACAAACAGTGTTGTTAACATCAGGTCCCCATGGCATATAAGGGAAGACTTTGAACAAATCTTTCAATTCATCGGGAGACAAAGCACAATCTCTATCCTGAAAACAAGCATACAATATCAGACATAAATCACTTAATTCATGTCTATTCTAAACTGGTATTTTCTTGCTGTATGCTTGCAAGATTCAAGAAATTGGCTATAAGAAACTGAGCTGCTTTCTTTTTAATCATTGTTCTTTTCTTGTTTTTAAGTAAGACTAAATATATGAGCTAGTTTTTGGTAGTACAACTACAACTGCCAACTCTCCTTGTAGACAGAAATATAAGCAGCAGGCTAGTTTTGACTGCAAAGCTTAAGCCAGAGCCAGTTTCTGCATGAAATGACATAACGACAAAAACACACTTTTTACTACCAAAATTGCTAGCAAACTAGGGCTCTTAAGTATAAGTACACACACACTCTCAAATTAAAAGCTTACCAAATCATGTTTATCAAAAATACTTTGAAGAAACAAGTATGCATGATGATTTAATTCTGTTGTGCAGTCTGGAGGAATTTTTAGCCTGTTTATTGACAACAAAAACAAATACAAGAAGGGTTAAGTGTGCTTATGGAATATAGAACATTAAAACTCAAAATACAGACTTTTTGAACTACAACATTGGGTATTTGACCTTTGTATTTGGCTTTATTAATTTATCTTTAAAGAGATCAAAGCATATACTTTTAATTAGGAATTCTAAAATTATGAGTGATGTCTTTATATTACATGATATATAGCTATATAGTAATCAGCTTTTTGTTTGGTTTGGTTGGTTGTTTTTTGTGTTTGGGGTTTTTTTTTGAAAAAAAAAAAAAAAGAAAATCATGTAGTTACAGTTTTGAAAAGAAACCACAGAGTTGGTCGATTTTTTAACTTTTTAATTTGGGGATTTTCAAAGGATCTCAAGTGCTATGAAAATACTGACAAGCCTTTTCTAATTTGTTGCCACATACAATAAGAAACTGCTCAGATTTACGTTCCAGTTTTGTATTAAGAGTCTCTTTTGCCATCTTTCTTATAAAGAGAGATAGAAGTACATGATTTGGCACAAGAGACGGGAGTTCTTCCTTCGTAATTTTCAGTCACATGAAGATTTTGGCTGGTAGGTCATAAAGTAAGGGAGGTACTTGATGTAACAATGTGTTAAATAAACACATTACAATAACCCTTTCCTCCTGCCAAAGCAGGAGGCAGCATAAATTAAATGCATGTTAAGTTAAAGAAAGCTAAAATAAGAGATACATACGGAGGAAACAAGTACTCTGGTGTAAGCTCTAAGTCATCATCATATCCAAAGCGACGTAAAACAGTCCAAGTTGTTTCATGCCTTCCTCGCTGAATGAAAAGTGTGTGTAGAAAAAGAAAACCTAAAAATCAAATGATGAAATCTTAAGGCCCTGAAGTGTTTTATCTGCTACAAATATTTTTAATAGAATCAGACTGAAAACAAAAACGCTTGAAATACACATTCAGACTTTAAGTCTCCTCGGTGACATTACAGCATTATCCACACAGACTGGAGGTTCAGAAATCATGTTATTTGTAAAAGTGTCCTTCAAGGAACTGTTTCCTTAAAACAACCCACTTGGTTTTCTGTTCTTGTTTGCTTCCTTCAGTACCAGCATTTTAGAAGAACTCAGCTGTATGAAAATAAAGACAACAATATTTTCAACAATTTAAAATAGGAAGCCTTAGCAAGAAGCCTGGAGAGTAGTCTCATGGAAGACTGCCTTTAGTTTTCCTGTATGAAAATAACTGGGTAAGATTTTTTTTTTTAGCACTTTCCAGGGCTTAACAAACACTGAGATTTCACTGTTTAGTAAGGCTATGCCTTAAGAGTCCCACACTTTACAATTTCTCACGAGTCCTATTACATATGTAAGCTCCACAAGCAAAGCAGTTACATTGATGCTCAGAAAGAAAACGTTTCTTCTCCTTTCACTTTTGCCATATGCTCTGAGCAAATCTGTACAACATAGCTTTTAAAATGTTGACAGACATCACACCTTGCTGACAAGCGTTGCAGACAGTGAGCCTAGAGACAAGATACATCTTTATCTAGGAGACAATCTCTTTTGAATCAGTATACTTATTTGGATTCCAAGCTCTGCAACGAGAAGTAAGAAAGACCTTATTTTATTCACCCTGGTATTCCTCAGTTTAATCATCCTTTGATACCATACTGCCACTACACCCAGCTCTTGTAGTCTAAAAGAATCAAGACAGAGATCATATTCCAAAAGACTAGCGTTTTTATGTAAGAATGATTATCAACTGTGTAAAGACATATCTTTTAAGAGTAAAATAAGGCTTACCTTTTAATGTTAATCCATTATCTGCAACTCCATCACTTAGGTTTTTCCTGACCACATTCTTTACATCTTCCAAAGCTTGAGGTGCCAGTGGTGTATTAAAACAAATTCTCTAACAAAAAATCAAAAAGAGCATGTTAGGACCACTGGCTACTAAGCTGGACAAACAGCATGTCCTGTATGAAATACAGCCTTAAACATTCTGATAAGCTCGTAAAGGACAATCCAATTTCTTAGTGGAAATAAAGGTGTACAAACTGTATTTTATTTTATTTTTAAATACAAGTGTTGACACTTGTTCATTTAAATAGATTTTTTTTATTTTGCTCTTGAACTAAAACTTGAACAATGGTTAGAAATAAAATTAATAGCATTTCCATTTTTACAGATCCATTCTTTTATGCTGCACTTGAGACTTTTAATATTTAGACCTGATTCCCTTACAATTCACCTTACTACTGTTCCTTCAAAAACAATCACTTGTTTTTCTACAATTATATAGTTCAACTATTAAGCATGGTAAAAAGATAAGCAAAAGAGTTACCTGAAAGAAGTTGAGCTCTGCATCATTGAGAGTACCATCATTATCCTGATCAGAAATTCTAAAAATGCGAGTGAGTGCTTTAATACAGGCAGGTTTCATCTAAGGAATAAAAGAAAGTTCAGTATCTTTCTAGGCTTGAATATAAAAAGATTACACTGAATGACGTCAGGCAGCTCAATGACATTAAAACAAATACTAGCCTTCATTTTTCATTTTTAGAATGGAGACATTCATACACACACACACAAAAAAAAAGCAAAAGGAAACAAAATCCTGATCTAGCAAATTTATATCCATAAATTTAAAGCAATTATTCCACATTAAATGCCTTTCTATTCAATTATTAGAAGAGCCTCAAGCTCTTCACAAGCTGAAGGTGGCACTACTTAGTTATTAAAAAAAAAAAACCATCAGTTCTCTAAATTTAGTCTTATTGCTACAGAAGGCTTTAAAAAACAAACAAACAAACAAACAACAGAATAATTTTTTTTCCCAAAAACATTTTTTGGTGGGGAAAAATCAAAGGCCTTGCAATCCCAGTGCCTTGCAAAAATAAACGGTTCTAGAACTACAGTCAACTCTTTCTAAACAAGCACACTATCTCTATTCACTATTTCAACTATAGCTTCAGAAGGCTTCAAACATCAAATACTGAAAATCTGCACAGGGCTCATTCATCTACCAGGCAAAGCATTGATCATATGGACTATCTCTATGACAAAAGAATTGCTGGGATACCTTCCAAGTGAAGGAAAACAGACAGTGGTAATTCTCTCCCAACAACTACAGTGATGATGGACTCTTCTCTTCACAGAGGTCACACAGATTGCATAGAGATTGGTTTTGGAAAACCAAAAAGATTTCAGCACAACAATTTTATCACAACATTACTAACTCATAAAGATGATTCTGATGAAAGAAATCAAAACAGAGTTATTCTCTGGTTCTCTACTTAACAAAGTATTTATGATTGAAGCAACTTTCCTACTGCCTAATACTACACAGGGGTTATGTTTAGAGATTTTATTTGTATTTGCCCATGAAAGTAATGTTTTTAAACAAAACATACTCCATAATACTCTGAGCTAACTACCTGTGATACTTAAAAACCAGCCACATCACTTGTTTCTTATCCCTTTTGCCAAAGTCTCACAAGATGCTGAGAAAAGTTCTTTCCCTTAAATCAGGCCAAGTCTGGAGTAGTTTCCCTGAAATAAATGGAGTTACTGTGAAATGTATATCTAAAGGAGAACTGAATTGAACACATGATTTTGTTCACGTTACATTGGGTTTAAAGCCATTATCAAAGCTTCTCATTTTACTTAACAATTCACATGGCCAGCAAAAAACTGTCTTCATTGTTTTGAATGAAGAGGAAAGACAGATCAGATTAATACAACATAAAACAATCACCATGGTTCTGGAATACAATGCTTGACATTTGGAGGTGGGGTGATGGTAACAGAACACACCTAAGAAATGCAAAATCCACTGAAAAGGAAAGAACAGCAAAGTGTTTAACTTCCCCCCAGCTATATTATTTGTTCTTAGAATCTATGTATAAATACCTCTTTCTCCTCTGGGCAATAAAGAGGACCTGTAGGATGTAGAACAGCTTTCTGTGCATAATAAAATAGCTCAGATATATTCTTCAAGTTTTTGGCTGAACACTGAAAGAGAAATCCTTATATTGATTAGCTAGTTTCTTGACTATTTGTGATTTCTTCTGAAATTTAAGCAAGCATCAAACTTTTAAAGATCTAGCCCCCTTTTGTGGGTACAGTGCTGTTTCGGAAAAAAGACATCTAGCCCTGTACCTGTTTACTAATTAATAAAGGAGGTCTCACTACAATTTGCTGTCATATCAGTAAGAGAGAAATCAAAAAGTTGTATCTACTTTGGGGGGAGAAAACAAGAAAAAGAAAGAAAATAAGAAAAAGAAAATAAGA